TAAAAGCTAGCACCTGGGTGCACTTTTATTTGTTATCATCAATGAATATCAAAATCAGCAAAGGTACAATACCTGCATCATATTCTGTTGTTGGGAAAGATAACCATAAAACTGAAAACAAACAACTTTATCAATCAACAKCTGATCTTATCCTAAACAATGAAATCATTATCCTACATATAGAACCTAATAATGGTATATTAGAACAGTTAAACACTGGGTTGCATAAAATGACTTTTCAATGACTTTCAACTACCCATTTGTTCACAATATTTATTAGAGAGTGGAACTCAACAATCAATGATGCAATTGCCTTATCCAGATTCTCAATATTTATTCTTTGTAGTTGGTTTATTGTTTATGTTTTTTTTGTATTTTTTAAATGCTTTTTTCCACCTACCTGGAAGTACTGTGTAGCTGATGCTTCCTCTGTTCTTTCACAAAACAATGACTTGTTTTGCAGCTTTTCAGTTGCTGATGATAGCATTGTCTTAAATTCTGTCACCTCTGTCATAAATAAATATTAAACATTCAAAATTAATTATATTATAACACAAACATTCACGCCTTACAGCTGCAATGACAACAGTGAAGGATACAAATAATATCATTCTTTWAAATCGATTTACAAATAACAAAAACATTTAGATGACAAGGTTGTAGAATAGCATGAATTCCATTTTGTTCGACAATCGATGGCTAGGAAGTTGTTTTCTGAACTAACCCTCATGTCGTTGAAATGTTATGACGGCACTACAACAGTGCTGCGGTAGATCCACAAGGTATCGAAGACGACCAACTTGACAATGATTTGTATCGCCAGTAACCCGAAAATTCGGCGAAAAATCGTTTCCTGTGAAATGAACATCATTGCACGAAACAAGAAATATAATGTTAAAAAGTAAATATTGCCAGAATATCAACTATGATCCACTTGAACTCTACCAATATAAACATAAAGATTTTTGAAAGTAATGAACATTAACTTTACCACATCGAATTTGAACTGAGCAAGTTTTGGTGTAATTGTCCTGCGTAACGTCGACAATACACTGTCCGATATCCTCCATTGCAAGCGAACATTCGCCCTTAATAACTTGCAGATAACACTCCATGAAAGAACGAGTCTTGTCTTCAGATTTGGAATTCATCGGATGATCCATTATTGACTAGAGTGGATAGTGAAGATGCTGTAATTTTTAATCACTGTTTTTCTACACCACTGCTGTCCTGTTTCCGAGCTCTTGCACGTGTTTTCACTGTATGCGGTCTTACGTTTGATATTGCGGGCTCAAATACAAAGGGAACCCATCGACTCATACAACATCATACAGCTTATTTTGCGTCTTTAATATTTCTTATATTTACTATCCTTAATGTTATCTTGCTGCCGTAGCGTAGCGAGTCTTAAGCSAGCGAAGCAAGCAGTGATTCTTATTCATACAACAAGGATTTTTTTAATGTAATCAGTGTACTCTACCGGCTGATCTTAGGKGTTGCCGGAATGCAACAGGTTTACTGTCTATAATTTCATAACCCAGTTCTAATGATCTAAACCAAGATCCAAAAGCATTGCCTATATAACCTCAGGATAATTCGTGATATTACAATTTTCTTAGACCGTTTATCGTAATAAATCGGAATTATAAATTACTATAAGATAGGCGAACCCCCGTCAGTGGCACGATTCGTAAAAAAAAATTCCCTGTTTTACCCCCAAACAATTTATCATAAGCGCAAGATGATCAACCATTTTTCCAATAATTAATCCGCAGTAAATCCACGCACCACATTCACTTAACAGAGCTGGTCATTTAAACAAAAACTTTTATTTCTGAAATCCTGTTGTTCTATTCTATGCTTCACTGCTGACGAATTCCATTCAACAACAACAATGATTATAGAGCAGTTATTTTAGCATTGAACAGAGTCTACGGCTTATCTGCTATTTTTGTCCGTAGACGACGTAAAAATCTTTGAGATCAGCATGTGGTAGCTGGTTGAACTCTTTAAAGCCAAAATGGGTAGTAGCGAGGTCGATGACAACATTTTTAAGGCCTGCATCCTTCATGCTTTCCAACACCATTTCCTTCGTCAAGTAAACTGTTTTATACTTAGACGTACCAACAGTGTAAAAACTTTGCTCCAAAACACCATGCAAGAGTAGATGGCCACCGGTTTGCAGAAGGTTAGTCAGGTATGACACTTGATCTTTGTACTCTTGGAACGTATCAACAACTCCCTCGAGAGTTAGACTTGACGCAACAACATCAAATGGCGGGCCGTACTTGGMAGAGATTTCACTTGGAATTTCTAGATGATTTTCTGCTTTAATATCGCAATGTACAACTGCTTTGATCTTCTCTCGKACYTCTGCTTCACGTTTCTCAACTTCATCTGGTGTCATGCCTTCCAGCTTCTGTACCACGTATTCAAAAGTCGGTCTCCAGTTGAATGCTTTWGGGTCTTGATTGATCCAGTCTTCCATGGCCTGTCGATTTTCYTTAACGTATTCAGCAGCAATGACACTTTTAAGATGCTTAGAGGCAGTGATGAACCTTGAGATAGTTGGGCCCGCACCGTATTCCAGCATACTAGTGGCTTTGTCTTTTACAACTCGAGTAAAAAAGTCAGTCAACCTGATAAGATAGTACTCATCTTTGCTTGGGTCATCGTAATAAGTGTCAAAGTAGACTTTAGGATCGAAAGTGTTGTCATATTTTTCGGTAGTCATACTGTCCTGCAACTCGCAGACCTCTTTTTGATTTCTCTCCCTCGCGCTGTTMTTGTTAAATATGAAATCATGCATTGCGAGCCGGTACCACACTGGGCAGGACGTACGTGATTTCCGGACTGAAGSCTTGTGCAACTAGAAACACTTCATTGTCCTTCCTGGCATTAACAAAAGGCCAGGATTTACAAAACAATATTCGAAAAAAAACCGCCATGACGTTTAATAAATAAAAATAGCTACTACATTGAATRTACGATATAAGTTTTAAAATTTTACCTAGTGAATTAGTTTTCAAACAATTATCAAGTTTTAAAGCCAAAGTGTTTTTTCAAGGTCTCAAGAACCTCAAGTTGTTTTGGCTAGAAATTCAACGGAAATTCATAGTGTGGTAGATAAAAATAGCCGTAAAAACTCCACGGGGGAATGCTCGAGAATACTCTAGAAACGGGATAAATAGGTGGCGTTCCCGTAAAATAAGTCAATATGCCATTTTTACATTTATAGATTCACACTGTATAAGACATGGCAAAAGAGGAAAAGTATTTTAAGAACTTAAAAACTCTTTTTCATTTTATGTTTGAGGTCTTTGAGTCGTTCACATTTCTTAGGATATTGGGGAGTGGTGGGTGCAAGCTTCTTGTCACGAATGGTTGCGAAATCACTTTACACCAATTATGAGAAATAACCTCAAGATTCGGCGGACATAGTCCTTTCTCTGATTAAAGCAATGAAACAGTTCGTTTCAAAACTAGTTTCTTTAGAAATACCGACGCTAACACTCCAATCACTCTAGTTTAGCGTCGAATAGTTTGGACCATCATAGCATCAGGAATTACTGGAACATGGTTAAAATATAAATGTTGCTATTGTCTAGTGAATGTTTGATAAAGTGTATTGTGAATTGTTGATAAAGAAAACATTTCAACCATAAAAACTCCAGGCTCTTTGACACTACCACCCCTCCACCTCATATTATAAAGATATTCATATTGCATTCAGRGATTAAGTTAACTTGGAGTTTGCTGCGTTACAAAATGGCAATTCTAAATTTAATTGMTTTCCTTGGAAGTTCTTGACCGCAACACGGAGCTGGCATATACCCAAAATACATTTCGCTCTTGGAATATACTATCTTTACTTAGCTGTATACCCTGCAAAGAACTAAAAGCATCAAGTTGTGATCAATTAGCATTACGTTGTCTATAAATACACACCAGGCGGCGATTCCCAGGGGCCAAGGAATCTATTGTTATGGTTGATGATTCCTCCCGTGGGGACCTGACGCGGGGCGCCCTGGCCTGCCTAAGTAAACAYATCCGTCTGAAAGATTCGGAAAAGGAATTGTTTGACTCCACGACATGGAGTGCTTAGAGCTTTGATTTAGCTTTGCTGTATCTTCTGACTTATCAACTCACATCAAATTCTCGAAYGGTTTGTTCGATAAAATTTTTATATTATAAACTGTATTTTTWCATCCATGTTATAATTACTCTTATTCGCCTGAGTATAGTCTTGAAATAAAACCCAAAGATTGCTAAGTTTTTCTTCATTTCTTTATCAATGCTATACGGATTGTCMTTCATCCTCTTCAATAGTAACATTCACTATATTTAGATTTAATAATTATTTGATAATCAATATTAATCTATTTGTTAACTTTTATATTGTCAAGGCCGATGAAAATGTGGAACGTTCGAGTGTAATGTTGGCGTTTCAGAGGTCTTCAAATGTGTTCCGTTGAACCCGGGCAAATCTTTGGCAACAGCTAGTATCTTCCTATAGTCTGTAAGCCACTAACGTTAAGAATTTCAAGAGATTTGTGTTGTGCTGTTTACTTGAATACTAGTAATGTTTGTCTGATATGAGAAGTGTACAGATTTTCCTGTGATGAATTGGGAACGACAATTGAACAGCTCGGTGAAAGCCGCCACACTACATCGAGCACATCGSATTCCGTCGGGCGCAAACAAGCACTCAGCACCCGTCCCCACCCCCATCAAATAATAAATCCACTGAARAATSATTATTCAAACCCTGTATCTTTTGCTAATTCCTGAGCTGAGCTCTGATTGGCTCCCTGCTCCCTAAGGATTTTGGTGACGTCATATATTAGCATAGAACTTCACCGAATAGACTACCCCAATTAGATATTAGATATCTATAAGTGTCTTCATAGTACGATGGTCTAAGAGGGTAGCTAAAGGTATGCTCTAGTGGGCGGCTACCCCCTCACTCCCTGGCCTTTTGGTTAAGACTAAGTTTTATGTTCACTCGGGATAGCGTGGAAGGGCCGAAACCTCTAACCGTAACGTAAGTCGATTCGACGCCTCAGCTTCATAGAATGTCTCGGGGGAATCGTCCCAACTTTTTAGTTTTTTTATTTTCATTATTTTTTATGTATTCCGGGGGGTACGTCTTCTCCTGAAGTGAAAGTCCTGAGTTCGAATCCTGCTACTGGAATTTCTCTCTCTTTATTTTTTTTCTTTGTTTCTTTTTCGTTTGTTTCCTGTTTTTTTTCTTGTTTCTTTCTTTTTTCTTTTCCGTTCTTTTTTCTTTGCTGTTGTTGTTTTTTCCTTTATAGATTTTCTCTTTTCAACTTCACATATTAAAAATTGCGCAAGGAACGCCTGCTACAAGTGGATGTCTCGGTCGTCAGTCAACACAATGACRTAGTGACGAGAGGCCACGTAAGGCCTTTCCTCATAAAAATCAAAGACTGTCGACTGACAAGAAGCCCATGAACTCAGGTAARTCCGTAAGTCACGTAAGCTATTCGCGCTGGCTAAGAAAAACGAATGCTCGGGTACGAGATCGAACCATTCRTGACCTTTCTCGAAAATCATCAATTACGTCACCATAATTGCAACATAATGCTAGGTCATTTGATGGGAGATATTACGTGGTAGTGTTCGAGAACGATCCTTCTATGACACAATGCATTATACGTGTGTKGTGGCTCAATATATTAAGAATGGTGATCATAGCGCTAACTGACATTCAGCATACAGTATCCAAGGGGAATGCAATATTACAGAGGTGGACCTTCGAGAAGGCCAGAAGAGGAACAGATGGAGCAATATCTCACAGATACAAACGAAATACAAGCTTACACCGCATGCATATTTACTCCTCCTCGAACAAACAATATAGCACAGTTGGATAAAACGAGATACCACAGTAAAACAATTTTTGTATCAACCTACTCAAGAAGTAACCGAGTGGAGAGATTATTTAACGTACAAGAAGCCTTGTTTGAAGTATGTATCATGGTAGTCGYGGTAGCCTGCTTTGCTCTGGCAATTATAGGGAAATCAATTCTTCACAGAGACTGCGAGGACATCTATTTCTAGYCGATCAGTGTACCAAGAAATGTTGGACAAGTTGTATGRCAGTGAWTTGTGACTRWWTRWAYTKGAMMKRGASASA